AGTGAAGTGGGGGGGGGGGGATGCGATATGATAACAAAAATAATGATATAATCATGACAATACTTAATGAGTAATAGACATATTAAATATACTTATTAAATGTACTTATATACATGTATGTATATATATACTTATGTATATATATATATACTTATATATAACGTATATTTTATATGTATATATATATATATTATATATAGCCTATATATATATAGCCTATATACGATATAGGCCTAATCATGACAATACTTAATGAGTTATAAACATACTTTATATATATATATATAAATATATATAGACATATTAAATATAATTTATATATATACATATGTATATAAATCATTATATAATAGGTAAAATCTAAACCATTTTTATATATAAGAATAATAAGAAACGAATACAATATAATAATATGGATTAAAAACATTTTATTGGAGAAGAATTTCAGTTTAAATATGCCTAATATATATATATATATATATATACATATATATATATATGATATGCCTATAAATCAGTATTATATCGGTATTATCATTAATTTTTATGTTATACCTTTTTATTAATATTATTTTAATATTATTTTTTATTAATGCTGGATTTGTTACTGTAAATGAAAAAAGAGTAACAAGGGCAACGATTCAAAACACTTTAATTTTGGCATAGTTTGGCTTTGCATTCAAATTTCTTTTGTTTATTTCGTAAATATACAGTAGAATTGGGGCCAAGTTAACTTGAGGCCGAGTTGACTACTTGGGGCCGACTTAACTTGGGACCGAGTTAACTTGGGGCCGAGTTGACTTGGGGCCGAGTTGACTTGGGGCCGAGATGACATGGGGCCGAGTTGACTTGGGGCCGAGTTGACTGGGGCCGAGTTGACTTGGGGCCGAGTTGACCTGCTTCCATCACACCATGTGGCTAATTTTTATCATGAGAAAAATAACGTAAATAAGGTAAGACTTACACTCAGACCCGTGGATTGTAAGGCAAGTACGGTGTCAATAAACAACACACCGCAGCTTCACTTTAAATATTCATGAATGCATTTTCATTGCCTCCTATATCAAAGGCTTATTATATAATTTTGTGTACAATGATTTAGGAATATATTTACGAATACGTTTATTGAATTTAGAGGCCACCTTATAATCATTATAAGAAGAACTAATGCAAGGACCAGTGGTGGCGCCAGGACCTGTCCGACGGATGGGCTAAAGGCCCCGACGGGGGGCTAGTGGAGCGAATCGAGTCTCACTTGGGTGGGGGCCAGTGGAGTCCAGGAGGCGAAGCCCCCTGGAAGCCACGGATATTATTTGATGAATTATGGCGAATTGTTATTACTTATTTGATAGGCATCAAGTTACTATAATATGACTTCATGTAGGCTATGCTTTCTAATGTTGAAATCAGCTTCCAAAACCAAAACATTTTGAATGAAACAAGAAACAAAGAGTATGCAATGTAACCATCTAATTAAGTGAAATTCTATATTTTGGAAATTTTGTATGAAATCTGTCAACCACGCTTTCATGGTCGCGGTTGCTTCACCTATCACGATGTATTCCAACCATCATCTAAATGAGCATGTCATAACAGAACGCAAATTATTTTTAATTAGTCTCATTGAATTATTATTATTATTATTATTATTATTATTAATATCATCATTATTATTATTATTATTATTATTATTGTTATTGTTGTTGTGATGAAAAATTAACACAAACAATATGGTGGCTAAACAAATATTACATGTAAAAATTTTTTTTTATTTGTCTGTTCCCCGACAAAACTTACCGTCTTCCCCGACGGTGGGGGGGGGGGGCTATGCTTCCCCGACGAGGGGGGCTATAGCCCCCAGCCCCTCTGGCGCCACCACTGGCAAGGACATAATGCAGTTTTTGTTCATTTACGCTTGAGTCTCATTAAAGATAGGTCAAAGAAAAAAGATAATAATTCTCAATACAGGTTATTCTGAAATCATAGAAAAGACGAAGACATAATGTATACAAATATCAGGGCATACTTTGAGTTAATTTACATCAGTATTAGGGCCTATAATTACTCTATTGTTAATCTTAATGTTTACACAGAAAATGATGTATATGCATCACCGAACTGCTACAAATTTATAAGAAAAACGATCGACAGAAGTTCATGTTTTGATGCTCAGCGTGAATGTGAACAAGTAGGTGGCAACATCACCGTAATCAACAGCACCGACGAGTACGAGCAGTTGACAAACAACGTGCTACATGTCCTAAAAAACAGGGACGATAGTACATTCAATATTCATGTCCAAAACCTGCCACGGGATGACATACGTATGGGATGTGCAACAATTGAAATACATGATGGACCCGGTATAATAAATAATGTATACACTACAAATACCGATTGCGACGAGACTTGTATGGTAGACACTATCGTTTGCGAGTCCACGGGTAAGTACAATAGCACCCCTATTTAAGGGGTAGGTTACCACAGTTTTTCAATTTTAAATGATATATGTTTACCATAAAAACTCAAACATCGATACAAGTCTGCTCTTATACCGCTTTATTAATAACCCTTATAAGTCTAGGTTACCTAACAATCTCATCGCTTATAGAAGGGAACGAACCTGTCAATGAGTTTCTATCATTACCTACCTTTCTACTTGTCGATGTATTAGATTAGATACCTTACTTTTTGCTCGGACGAAATAGATTTTTGGGGAGTCAGTATATTCTATATTTCCAAGACCACTAACCAAATTACATCTCTTCTTACAGTTTAAACGTTTTACATTATCTATATTTATTGTAAATGATGTATTTCAGATATAAAAAAAAGCCTAGCAAATATAACAGAAGTAATATTATGTTAATTAAATCATTTTAAAGATTTTAATACGGAAATATGTCCAATACAAGTAACCGAAGTGGCGCAAACAACAACGGTACAACAAACAATGAGTGTCTTTACCACAGTCAGCAAATCATTTGTTACAGAAGAAACAACAGAAAAATACACATCGATGGTGTTTATGCATCCATCAAAAGGAAACCAATCTGAAATAGAAACTGGTCCTGGCGTACCGATAGTTGCTATTATTATGTCAATTGTCGTGATCACAATCGCAATCATTTTATTAGTGCTATTGTTTATGCGACGCTCACAGAAAAGAAAAAGATCAAGGTATTAGAGTGTTATATAATATAATTAGTAATATTACTATCGCTAGTTATATTTGTTGATATAATATATTATTGATATTATAATTAAAACTATAATCATATTATTATTATTATCATTTTATTATCATCATTATTATTTTCATTATTATTCCTAATGATAAATTCAAAGTTATGATATATAGCATACTACTATAGGTTATAGGCCTACTTAGGGCCTATAATATTATTGCTAGTTTACAATTTTAGTTCCATATGACGTGTGTTTACTTTTTAGAAATTCCCTTGGTCCGAATCAGCATTTACAGTCAACAGGCCTACCAGTCGATAAAGATGGAGGTACGTACCTAAGCAAACATATGACGTCAGTTTCACGCCCTGAACACAACCGAAACTTCTGTACGTCAAAAATGGAGCGTTCCGTTAGGCCCCGCACCTTGGATATTGTAGCTAAAATCTCCAGAAAACAAGCACGTAAACGTATGTTTGAGGGACAAGCGTTATAATTCCTGACCCTGTTCTAATTGGTCATGTTAAATTTGATAGATACTCCGGAAAACTCCATAATTATGGATTATCAGGAGTGACATTTTCGACAAAGGCCTTCCATTGGTTTTCACCAGAAATAGAGACTAGAGATTACTGTTAAAAGTGATCACTTGCAAGATTGCTGAGGTTGTTCTGCATACCTATTGTAATGCAAACTTGTCACTTCTTTTGCAATTCTTGACCCTAAACATTGGTGTATATTTGGGTGACATTGATTCCAACATCCATTAAAAACTCATTATTTTATACCCGTTTGAATGAGCTTTCCCATCAAGTCTCTTATACGGTACTATCTGAATGCGACTGTGACAACACAACTGTGACGCTTTATAGACTATATATCTCGCGAAATTGAACTTATATGGGCTTAAGATTATTTAACATGCTTTATTATTTTCAATCTTAGCCACCGTCTCTTACTCCGATGGTGGTGTCGTCCACAAATACTCAACAGCAGAGGACCATCAAGATCGGAGCGAAGCATACAACATACTTGATGCAAAATACATACATTCACCAACCGTGGTTGTCAATGATGTATATGGGTCATTCTTCACTAATGTGCCATTTTCCAGTCCAACAAATAGTGCACAAGATCAAGAACATGATATACTTAGGCCTAATGGCATGGATTCGGGAGCCGCGAAACAAAACGGATTAGGTGGTGGTGTGTATGCCGTACCAAATAAGAAGGCAAAAGCACATAATGGGGAAACAAATCAAGATGTAGACGAACCCTATGCTACGCTTGATGCTGATGACATGCAACCAGTGTCAGAACACCATGAAAGAGAGTCTGATAACGCTTTTGACGATGCATTATATGTTAACGCAAATGCACATTGTCTGCAAGATGAAGGTGAAGCCTATAATGCCCTTAATGCTGCAGACATGCATTCAGACCGAGACAATTCAGGTGACGTATACGACGTGCCATACAAGGAGACAGGTGACCGTCAAGAAGATCATGGTAACGTCTATGATATGTTGAATAGGGCAGAAGTTCGTTTAGGCAACGAATATGACAAGCTAAATGCTCCAGATAATATGGCGCCAAAAGACGACATGTATTCGTATGTGGAAACTGCGGTAGGCTGTGGAATTGTGACAATGTCGCCTGGAGAAGAAGATCATGCTTATGACAAACTACAGCGCAATACAAAACTTGATGGCGCTTCAATAAATGGCAATAATTATAATACACTCCAGTAAAGAACCTTCGTTCAAATCTACACCTCTACAGTATTCAGTGGCGGATTCAGTCGGCATGCAACCTCTACCTTTAAATTTTTCAAAATTTTTAAAAAAATGGAGAAAAAAAGAGAAAATTATATAAAAGTGCCATTTTCGGCCATCTAGAGTGCCATAATCAATATTGTTCTTACCTCAGCCCCAACTATGGACCATGGTGGGGCTGAGGCGGTTGGACACGTGTTTAGAATTCCTGGACCCGCCACTGATATTCTGTACCTAAACGAACATACTTTAACTTATATACCGTAGCCGTAGGACAATATGGAGCAGCATTGAGTATTAGTTGGTGTAATGTATATTTCTTTCCTACATCTTATCAAATTTTGTTTCCCTACATCTTAAATTTCCATTAAATTGTTATGTTGATTGTTTTTTTTAGCTCCGATGATGATATAATACAATAATTACCCGTGGATCATGTGTGATCTGTTTATTAGTTATATTATTTGTCTAAATTGATAGGACGCATAGGCCTGTCACGCCAAAATTGGTCCGGGCTGAAAAATGTCCGGCGGACAGATTTTGGCCGCCAACGTCGGTCCTCCGGATTGATTTTAGCCGCTAAAACCGGTCCCGCTTGGATAAAATTGGTCCGAGACGGCCTGAACACTGCCACTTCACTTGTAAATCGTCTGCTGCTCATAGGGTAGGAATATGATTGTTTCTCCCGTGAAGTGGAGGAAAGTAATTATGTTTCTGCCACACTTGAAAACAGTGACAGAATGTTAGTATTTATAAGCTTTTGAGGACGTATTTAATCAAACCCACCTGATAATGCATTTCCTAGGTCTACGCGATCGATACACACAAACATACATCTTTTTCGGCGGCCGTAGTTAGGCTTAGGTTTGAGCCTAAAATGAAACACAAGACTAATTTATTAGTTTTAAATATTCCGGATTATTGTGTGGGGTATTAGATCATACAATAGATATTCTAATACATGAAATGAAGGGTTCAGGATTCCTCGAATTTAATGCATGTACTGTACTTCGTCGCGGCACACACACAACCAAAAAAGGTAAAAAGAATAAACTAAAGCGGACCAACACCATTTAAACCCACATCGTTTAACTTCTTTTCGTACTTTTACACTAAAGGGTTTACTGGGCGGTGCGAAGCTTTCTTAATTTCACCATGATTTCACCTATGAACATATAACGAATGAAAACAGTATTATATAATGAGGGATAAGATACCGTATTTATCTATCATTTGATTAAAAAAAAAACATGAACAACGTTATGACAATACAAGTTATAACTACTAAATAGACGCCAGACCGATTTTTGCTTATAATGTGGACTACATTTGGCAGGTAGACCTAATTTTAAAGCCAAAATCGGTCCGGCGGACCGATTTTGGCCCCGGACCATTTTTTTTCCTGACACCTTAGGTAAATGTCTAAACCAAGGAACAGTTAAATTACAATACGTACTAATGAATAATAATAGCGTGAATAGACATTTTGTATTGTGAGGGTTCTTTCATTAAAGGGTTCCTTATACATTTTCATTGTATCAGATTCCCTGATTTTCTGTCGTTTGATTTGTACTAAAATGCATGTTCTTCCTTCATTCATGTTATCAAACATTATCAGCCTTTCTCTTTCTATCAATTGACAGTCCTTATATGTATTGATAATAATAAATGATGATTCTACAAATCCCACTTATCATTACTATTATGAAAATGAAGGCGATGATGATGACGATGGTGATGACGATGGTGATGCTGATATTGATGGTCATGATAATGATGACGATAATAATAAAGTTGAGGTGCAAAATTGTGCGTCTATGGCACTTTTATACTTCAATTTGAATGTGAACTTTTCCCCTTATAAAAAATGTTTAATAATATAGGGGCCCCTTATAAAATATGTTTAATAATATAAAGGGACCGGGACCTGGGCCAGATGCCCCTCAACCATGAAGCCGCCAATGAACATCTTTTTTTTTTTGAAGATGATCGCACGTTAAGCGGAAGTCGGACGACACCTGAAAAAAACAATATCAAATTTTGGACAAAGTCTAATAGTACATAGCCTAAGTTCAATGAAATGAAAGTAATGTGCCCACGTCTGGTATTCGAAAGTTCACATAACAATATAAAATGGTTTAATAATGCTCGAGCTAAATCATCATTAGAAAATTATTTAAGATATAAAAATAAACCAAAAATGGAAAAGTATTTATTAGAAAGGGACAGCTACCATGCATCAAACCTGATATTTAAAGCTCGAACTAATTCATTGCCTTTGGAAGGTAGAAAACAATCAGGTCTCCACAAAACTTACGTCAATGCTTATTATGTAATTCCAATAATAAAGAAACAATAGATCATTTTATTTTTAAGTGTAATAGATTACAATTTATTAGAGAACCTATTTTTAAAAAACTACAAGAAGAACTATTCCACAATGACCTGAATCTAGTTTGTAACTTATTTATTTCGGGTTTCCCTGAACTTAAGTATCACCTTTTCATGATCTTGAAATTCATTATATATTCATTATAACAAACCCAATTTTAACTCATTTTAATTATGAAATGTCAGAAAAAATCTTATATTTATATTGTAAATTTTTTTAAACTAAAGCATGGGAAAAACGTAACAAAATCTATAAATTTGTTGGAAAAGAAAAGAAAAAGAAAAGAGAAGGGGAGGTAGAGGGGGAAGAAAAAATGAAGGAAAAGGGGAAGAAGAGGAGAAGAGAAGAGGAGAAAAAAATAAAGTCGGGGAAGTGGGGAAGAAAAAAAAGAGGAAAGAGAGAGGGGGAAGAGAAAAGAAAGAAGAGAGGAAAAGGAAGGGGAAGGGAGAAAACAAATTATTATTATTATCATTTTTTTTTCTTTCTTTTTCTTTTCTATTTTATTAAGCTTCATTTATGTTTCTTTTCAGTTTATTCAGATAAAATGTAATGCATTCCCCGGGAGGTGGAATGCGCACCGTCGAGTTTCGGCATAGTCACGCATCGTCGGGAATTCCTGGCAATGGCGTGAACGGTGTCGAGCGCGGTGGCGTGTATTTCATTTCTTGGGATGCGTATTATAATTTCTTCTCGTTATTAGTTAAGTAAAAAAAAATCAAAATACTGATAAAGTATTAATTAGACAGTGTATTAGTTAAGTAAGAAATATCTATAGCAAGACAAATGTACATGTTAGGCCTATTATTACTCTTATATTGTGAATTATTGTTGCACATCTCTTTAGCGATTGTGCCTCTGTTACAAAAGAGAAACAATAAAGTTATTATTATTATTATTATTATTATCGCGTGTTACTAACCATACACAATCCCTAAATAGATGTCTTATATGTAAACGTTATTCACATATCCAATGTATTTTTGTGTGCTCTGAGTGGTATTGTGTACCATGTAATGCTTCCTTTTTTGCGTTTAACCATATCTGTCAATTTTGATAAATTAAATCAGAATGAATATATGTATAATAAGCATGTAAAACGCCGCAAGAAAAAAAAAAACAATATTCGCAAGCAAAATAAACCATGGTTAACCAATGGGATTATTCACTCTATTAATACTAGAAATCGATTATATAAAAAGTATATGAAATCTGGTAAAGAGATTGATAAAAAAAAAAGGTACACTAATTTCAGAAATAAACTAACTAACATAACCCGTTTATCTTCTAGAAATTACTTCAAAAAACAATTCGATATCCACAAAAATAATATTAAGGCAACTTGGCAAACTATTAATTCCGTGCTCGGCAGAGATACCAAATCTAACTTTCCACATTACTTTATTAAAAATAATATAAATATCACAGAGCAGTCTAAAATTATAATTGAGTTTAATAAATACTTTTCAGAAATTGGCCATAAACTTCTCAATCAATTAATATCTCATACACTATTATTCAGCATTTCTTAATTGACCTAATATTCATTCTTCCTTACACAAGTTTCGGAGAAAGAAATTATTGACATTACTGATTTATTCAAAACTAACAAAAGTCCAGGCGCCGATAATATTCATCCTGATGTTATTTAAAAGTTTCTCCATTTATATGTAAACCATTGTGTCACATTGTCAATATTTCATTTCAATCTAGTAAGTTTCAAAATTTCCTAAAAATTGCAAAAATTATACCTATTTTCAAAAAATAACGAGCCCCACCAATTCACCAATTATAGACCTATAGCACTACTTCCTTGTTTTTCAAAAATTCTCGAAAAGTTAATTTATAACAGATTAATAGCATTTCTTTTCAAGTATCAAATTTTACACCCAAATCAATACGGATTCAGGAAAGCACACGGTACAGATCTTGCGGTGCTCCACATGTATGAAAAATTAACGTCTTTACTTGCAAAAAAACATCACACAATCAGTATTTTCTTTGACACCATAGATCATGATATTTTACTCTCAAAATTATCTAATTATGGTGTCAGAGGCCTTCCATTACAACTAATAAGAGATTATCTTACAGATAGATAACAATTTACCTCTATCAATTAATTTGATTCTAATTTATTATCTATAACCTGTGAAGTACCACAGGGTTCTATTTTAGGTCCTCTGATTTTTTTAATTTATGTTAATGATCTCCCAAATGTCTCTAAATTACTACATTTTATTCTGTTTGCAGATGATACCAATATATTTTATTCTAATGAAAATAACCATACCCTTATAACCACAATCAATAACGAACTTAAAAATGTATATTTATCTGGTTCAAACTCAATAAATTATCTCTTAATATATCCAAAACTAATTTAATTTATTTCAATCATAGTAAGAAATGCAATAAAGAATTGCCAAATGATATTCTTATTGATGGCCATCCAATTAAAAGAGTTTCCAGCGCAAAATTTCTGGGAGTCATAATTGACTGCGAACTCATGTTGGAAATGTCATATTGCCAATGTTACAAAGATAGTTTCTAGAAACGTTGGAGTTTTATCTAAATTAAAATACACTCTTCCCTCCAACATCTTATTTTCATTATATAATACACTTATTTTACCTTATGTTAATTATTGCAACATTGCCTGGGCTACAACCACTGGTAAGTTTTCACAATTGTGCCCCTGGGCAAGTTCTGAAACGACTAAAATTCATTGCTTATTTCTATTACAAAAGAAAGCGCTCAGAATGCACAGGGGCACTCCCCCCCCCCCCACCAG